GCATCAAGGCCCCGTACCATGCATAGAATAGAATGTTGAGTTTGAAAACAAATAAAGAGACGGGCATTAATAATAAGGGAAATTATGGGTGAAAACGATTAAAATCAAAACTTAAAATGAATAACTCTGAGCAATATGAAAAATAATCATTCCCGCCATAACGACAAACACAAATCGTCATATGGCCAATCCCAACTTTGCGAGAAATACCCGGTAGCGACGCCCAACACGCAAATAAATGTACCTCACCAAAATCAAACACGATGGCCCGTTTTATCGATGTCGACGTATCCCAGTTAAATGTGCTCAAAAATGCAAGAAATGAAAAAAATACTTTACAGCAGACTAAATGAGGAGTACGTGTTTTCTTCCTAGAATGGCTTAACACAAGCGGCATGCGCCACCAAATGCGGGAATGTTACCCTTCAGCTCGCAAGCAATATGGGGTACAGTACAGCAAACCATCGCTGTCTGGTTTTATAAATTACGAGCTTCAATCCATCGACACATCACTGGATTACTCGATCATGTAGGAAAGGGAGTTCCAAGTTTGTCTATTTTTTGTATACGTGTTATGTTGAAATGACCGCTGCACACTGTATTGTGCTTGTGTGTGTGTGAATGGGAATCATTGCGTGAACGTGTTGACGTTATATACAGTATACATACTACAAGGCCCATATAATGTACACGCGATTCTGTAGAATGTTTTCGGTCGTTGCTTCCAAATTATCTTAGTTTTAACGTGTGAAAATTCACTGGCATTGCCAATGCAACAAAATAATAAGTGTGCTTTCGTTTATTATGAGCCACCGAGGAGTACATTATTGTTTAATTATATTATTATTCTTTATGAATTGGATACGGCTTATGCGGCGGGAGCGCCGGACCTTACGAGGCCACGTAAGCCGTACTACCGAAGGCAGCAAATGGGAATCATTGCGTGAACGTGTTGACGTTATATACAGTATACATACTACAAGGCCCATATAATGTACACGCGATTCTGTAGAATGTTTTCGGTCGTTGCTTCCAAATTATCTTAGTTTTAACGTGTGAAAATTCACTGGCATTGCCAATACAACAAAATAATAAGTGTGCTTTCGTTTATTATGAGCCACCGAGGAGTACATTATTGTTTAATTATATTATTATTCTTTATGAATTGGATACGGCTTATGCGGCGGGAGCGCCGGACCTTACGAGGCCACGTAAGCCGTACTACCGAAGGCAGCAAATGGGAATCATTGCGTGAACGTGTTGACGTTATATACAGTATACATACTACAAGGCCCATATAATGTACACGCGATTCTGTAGAATGTTTTCGGTCGTTGCTTCCAAATTATCTTAGTTTTAACGTGTGAAAATTCACTGGCATTGCCAATGCAACAAAATAATAAGTGTGCTTTCGTTTATTATGAGCCACCGAGGAGTACATTATTGTTTAATTATATTATTATTCTTTATGAATTGGATACGGCTTATGCGGCGGGAGCGCCGGACCTTACGAGGCCACGTAAGCCGTACTACCGAAGGCAGCAAAAGCCGTATCCAGTCCATAAAGATTTTATCATGTAATTTATAATTACAATTTTCCCACGGAGTGCATCAAACACACGACGTAATTTTGGATGACGCGTTTATGTTTTGATTGCTGAAAGCTTGGAAATTATTGCTTCGATGTGAGGGCGCACTTCCCATAGCGTTACGAGGCCGGGCAATACAAGGTATATGATGATAAAGTATATTTTATTTGACTTGAAATCACGTATTGAATACGTGAACTGAACATAACACAAGCACATATACACTAGTTCAAAATCACGGTAAAATGTATCTATTATTGCCACATATCACACATTATATCAAAACAGCAAAAATACGACATACATTCCTAAAAATTTCAAAAAGGAATATATTGCCCTTTATGAAACATAATTTACAGACCCTTTGGGTGTTTTGCACATTCGTTGGTAAGTTTATACTTTTTCAAGGTCAGTGAAAACGCAGGTGACAAGTCGAGAAATTATACTTCCGGAGAGTGAAACAGCGCACCACCAAAAGTTTTCCGGGCAGAGCGTGAATGAATTTAGTCAAAACAGTACATGTGGTGCAGTAAAAAGAGAAACGGAAGGCCAAAAACGCTTATCGAGAATGAATGGTGACTACGTTGAGTAGTCGTTTGCTTTTCACAGGTGTCAGTTTCATTCAGAACTTCAATGAAAACCAGAACCCAATCTTGAAAATGCTGGTGAATCAGTTTGGGGGAATATTTTCTGGTAAGCCTGTCAGTGCAGACCTTGGTTCTCCCCTAGTAAACGGCATTTATTGGCCGGACACCCGGAAACAGATTTGAGATCTGATAATTCTCACCATTTATCAGTGTGAAGTTCGAGCCGCGCCAATAACCTTTTTTAATAAACATGTTTTATGTTTACAGGGTTTACTTCAAAGCCTGTCATCACCACCACCACAAAGAAAATCCCACTGCTATTGGCGAGGATAATATCAAATGTAGCTGGATTGCGAGAAAGGGTCAGTTTCTCGCTCTAGAGTTACATTTGAAATTCATACTTTTCTGAGAGTAGCAATAATCTACGGGCAATATTTGGTTGGTACGCGTGACAAAAATACTTCAGGAAACCACACATTACCAATAACATGCGCCTTAAATTGTAAGAAAGATTTGAAATTTGGGTAAACATCTGCATACCTCGTCATAACCACTAACCGCGCCACCAACGACACAAGCGACTTAAATGGGACTTAAATTTCGGATTTTATGTTTACACCATTTATCCCAATACTGAATAGGTAAGACAATGTGTAGCACAGATTGAAAGCTTGATTGTAACTGATTAAAATCAGACCTTATTGGGAATTTTTAATTTTTCTTTTAAATTATTATTTTT